TTTATTTTGCTATATTCGATGCCGCAAAGTGAAAATGTGTCCTGCCCCTTTGTTGTTCGCCCTTGCCTGTTTATCCTTTGCCTAACAGCCGGGCTGGCATACGGCTGGCAGCCTGCTACGTTCGCCTACGGAGTGTGTTGTGGCACCACCCGCCGCACCCTCGCAGTGATTCGTGCACCTCTCGAACTTTGTTTGTTTGCGGTTTTGGCTTCTGCGCTTTTGCGCTTTCCATGCGCCGCGTATCAATTATCGTCTCGAATTTAGTACCTGGCACCAGCTGTGTGTGCGTGCGTATCTACTTGCTGCTGTTGTTGTGTTTCTGCTGCATACTTGCAGGCGGCACGCTTTAAGTTCAAGTGCAAACGGAAGCAGAGCAGAGCAAAGCCAAGCAGTGCAGAGCAGAGGAGAGCCGAGCTGTTGACCAACTCAACTCAATCATTCCGACGCTCACATGAATTGACTCGATTTGTACACTTGTTGGTGCTGGGCGCCTGTTGACAAGGCTCTCGTTACAGGCTGGAGAGAGTGAGAGAGAGCGACACCAAGCGAAAGAGAGAGCGCAAGAGAGAGCAGAAGAGAGAGAGAGAGAGGTAGTAAAAGAGAGAGTGCGGACTGAGAAATTCCACACGGCCTTTTGACACTTGAACAAGTTGTTGCTCCAGTCTCTTACTATGTGTGTGCGTGTGTGTGTGTGTGTGTGTGATAGTTGGTGCGTACATTAGGCATACAGCAGGCAGAGCCAAGCCGGGAGAGAGCAAAAGCTGCTGCAGCTGCTGGCAATTGCTGTTCGCCTGTTGCTGCATTTTCCAGCTAAGGTGGGAGCACCCCGTTCGATGCACACCCTGTGCTGCCCAGGTGTGTGTGACTGGCTTGGAGCAGCAGGGTAAACACGTTCGATTAGCCCTGTGCCCCACTGCCTGGGGCAGATGCCCCTCCCCCCTCCCCACCCACAGTGCAGCACTGACCAACCTTCGGCTGCCTACATAGCTTTATCTTTATTTTTGGGATTCTTGGCGGATTATAAATGCTGCACGTAATTTGTTTACCTATGTCCTGAGCATCAAACGAGCCGGCAAATGGCTTATCGCCTGTCTGTCCCAGCATCTCCGTCTGTCTCGCTGTTTGTCTGTCTGCCTGTCCACTCCAACCCATTGTCTTGTACTGCGCCCAGTGTGAGGCTAGCACATAATTGGAAGCCCTTTTGTTATATACCCTGCATTTTTCTTGGAGGTCAAACAGGCTATAACGGACTGAGGCTATTGTCGATTGTCCATTTATCTGAATACTTATATACGGATTTTAGGCAAGGCATTATACGGGCTTATTATCTCCATCTTTATGTACATATATTTAAAGACTTTATCTAATTATATACCTTCATATATTAATATTTGTCTCTAACCATGCTCTATCGATATATCATTTTTATATCTGTCTATATATGCATATATCTATCTGTATTTCTATATATTTTTCTAAATATCTTTCTAAAGAGTTTTTGAATATCGCATATATATATATTCGTATTCGTCTATTAATGAATTTACTCTTATCCACTTTCTAAAGATATTGTATAAAATTTGATCTATCCATATATGAAAATTGATATCTATATATTCTCATAATCATATGTGTATCTATTCTACTATCTGCATTTAATCCCATATCGATTTAGATCTTTCTCTAGAAATTTCATTGAGCTTACATCAGATATTATTGGTATATAGAATTCTCTAAGGAATTCTAGGGAATATCCATATACTTAATTTCTCTCTGACTGTGCTGGGTATCGTCTAAGCGAGTTACATTTTCCCATTTGCTCCTTCTTTCTCAATTTGTTCGTCTGATGTGCTGATGAGTTTGGCAGCCAAATCCGGCAGCTGCCATATGTTGGCCATTATTGAATCTTTAATGTCAATAAGCAAAACCTTTGTTGCTTCTGTCTGTCTGCAGCTTTTCTTGCTGCCATTTTCCGCCTTCGTCTTTCCCTCTCCCGCCCTCTCTGTCTCTCTCACTCTTTCGGCTGTCATTTGTTTGGTTTGTGTTGCCTACTTTGAGGTGCGGCAAACGAAATTGTCAAACTGCACTGCTGGGCGTCGGGGCTTCGGGGCGTGGCATGTGGGGCCGGGTAGGCGCAGGGGCGTGCCCTTTTGCGCCACAGACAAACTTCGAATGCAAAAAGGAGAAACAAACGGAAAATAATAATAAGAAAACGCTTTTTGGCAGCTTCGTGTTGCAAATTGCAAGCGAAGCGATGAACGAAAAAAAAAAAAGAAATATATAAGAAACTTTGACGATTTGTGAGCGCCCAAAAAGTAGTTAAAGTTGGCGCTGCAGCTAACCCCGAGGACGGTGACGACAACAATTGTTGATTTATGGCGGCCAATGGCCCCAATGAACCCTCAAAACAAAGACTCCAAAAGCCCAAGCCAACTGCCTCACCAAAAGTTGGGCATTCGCATTAATTGAATGCGCCAGGGCAATCAACAGCGAAAAAAGGACATGAATATACAAAAAAGAAGAAGCAGCAATTATAAATATATGTATATGCATATCTACATATACGTTTATACATCTTAAGATCAAACAATTTGTAAATTTGAACAACAGATTAGGCCGAAGGTAACAGCAGCTGCTGCTGTGAATTTTCGCTTAAACATCTCGAAAGACACAGTTGAGTCAGCTATATACGTATATACATACATATATATATACATATGTATGTATGATATGGATATCATAATATACATAAAGTAGTGCCTCTGTTCAATTATAAAGATAGTTTTAATAATTTTTCTTAGTCTCTCTTCATTGAAAATGGGCCAACATATCGATTTTAATCGAACATCAGCTATGAGTTATCGAAAGCTTTTATCACTAATAAGAATTACAAGCTTAAATACAACATCAAGTCCGATAGACGGACAGACTGATGGATGGACGGATAAGCTCGACGTTTCAATCAAAAAATTATGATTTATTCAGATTTCTTCATGCTGTTTAATTACATATGATCAATAAGGAATAAAGGAAATATACAATCATTCTTTCCAACGGCTATGAGGAAATATTAGAATGAATAGGATGATGATTAACATGTAAACAGATAAAGTTCAATTGATATGAAGATACAGTCGTCGGTGTTTCAAGCCATATTTTTTTAAACATTTCCTGTCGATTCTTAAATTGATTTTGCTGTGCGCTCGAAAGTATGCAATGAGAATTTGACTATCACAGCTTTTAGCCTGGTAAATGCGCTGGGAATCTATTTCAAATGAATAAGCCCCGCTAATTGTGCACATAATCTGTGCAATTATATTATATATAGCAGCTATATAGGGAGCATAAGAGACTTTTTTTTATTTAGCTCACGGCGGCAGCTGGGAAAACTTAAAGCTGTCTCTGATTACACTTGAGCCAAGTGCCACGCCTCCAGTTGCTGGCGCGCGCCTCTTGTCTTTGCTTTTAATTAGCCCACTGCACGCTCTTGAGCCCCAACCATTCCTGTTCCGCTTCTCCTTGTGTTGTTTTTTTTTCCGCCTCCGCCCGCGGACTAACTCGCTCTCCCTCAATCCCTATCTCTCTCTCTCTCGGTCCTGTTGCCTCTGTGCGTATCTCTCTCTCTCATTTCCTTGTAATCAAATCCGCGTTGCTTTCCACTTTGTGTTGTGCATACTTTGAAACGCCAACGGATGAATGAAAAGTGTGAAAAATATTTGTGAAAATGCTTAAGTTGACTGGAATTTTGAGCGTCCAACAGCAACGGCAACAGTCAGGCTGAATACAAAAAAAAAAAAGGGTTCAAAAAGGCCAAAAGCAGCATGCACAGGAAACTGTGGCTAACGATGCTTGCCGTCGCAAAGTCGAGCCGAGCCGAGCTGAGCCTGAGGTGTGGCGTGGCTGTTGTGTCATTTCGAGTAGGTTGTCAGGCTTATCAACTTATCAACACATAGCGCACACACGCACACACACACACACAGAGAGAGAGAGAGAGCGAGACAACTAGACAACCAGAGACAGACACCTAACAAACTTTTGCTTTTAAGTTGGCAACTGACAAATTCGACACAGCAACAACAACAACAACAGCAACAAACATAAAAATCAGTGGGAAATGCTTGTTAAACTGCATCCGGTTGAGGGCTAATTGCACCATTGGCTGGCCAAAAATATATGTTTTCCGAAAAAAAATGTAAATAATCAGAGTTGTGTCACAGTAAATACCCTGCAAAAGGGATTTTTTGCATATATCATAGACGTAAATACTCAAGTATATATATTTAAAATAAAGTAATGAAGGTTGGGGTCTTGACTTTATAATATATATATTTCCTACAATTTTAGAGACATTCCCTATCAATAATCATATAGAAATATCTTAACATGTATACAAAAAAATAAATAAATAAATAAAATAAGAATACAAATTAAATAAATAAATATAAAATTTACTTAATATAATAAAAATAAAATTGTTGTATATAAAAATAATATAAATGCCTCGTAAATTGAATATGTCCACATCTTAGGCATCGTATTAGATAGTCTCCCAGGCACTTTTTACGGCATTAACAAGGTGATCATTAAGATAACAATTGACTTCTAGTCTATATATCTGTATATCTATCTCCTGCACAAGATTTTTATATCAAACTAGAAACTCTGAAGTCATCAGTTTAAGTCTAATCTCAAACTAAAAGACTAACTTAAATAAAGAGTAGCTAAAATGCACACACTAGATGTAAATGCCATAAGGGCTGTCTCGGTCGACAGTGCTGATGCCTCACACATACCCTTTAATTACGAGTGTTTTTATTATTTTATTAGTAACAAAAGTTTTAATCAAAACAAGAATTCCCTGCAATTTGTAAGAATTTGATAATTTTTCGAGCTGAAATGCTTTGATATTGGGGGAAACAGCAAGTGAGAAATTTTTCTTGTTTGTATAAAAATGAACATAGAATCCTTCTGCTTGTGGTAAAGCTGAGGGTCTGTTAAAAATGAATGGTTGGATAGGGGGATTGAAACAGATTCGATTTCGCTCTTATAGCCTATTCGGATTTCCCATTCCCATTCCCATTCGGCCAGTCAATCACTTGATAGCTTTAGCATACTACTTACAGGGTATACATATATGAACTTGAATCTAAACCAGAAACCATCTGTTCTCTCCATTTCAGAGTGCAACGCCAATGAGTACAGATGCCGCAATGGAAAGTGTATCGATAACAGCAAAGTCTGCAACTACGTCGTGGATTGTCCCGATGGCGAAGATGAGGGCGATGACTGCCGTAAGTAGATGAGCAAATGCAAATCCGTTTGTACCTGAAACCGTATACACACACAACTACACATCACATACACGCACTTATATATACATATAGATATATATACATGTAAATTTATTGGTAGACGTAAGCCCAAAACTATTTTGGATACGTCTATGCGTTGACTAAGTTTGACTAAGTTTCTAGCTGTAAGACATATTAGATAATCGGTAATCGATAACCGCTACCTGTAAGCCGATATCCGACCTGCCGGTCGTAGGCATAAGTCCGCTTACGGTAACTGTACCCCATTAGCCAACTTGATTAACCACGAACCTTATTAACCGCTAACCACTAACCGAATTATTTTTGCTCTCTTTGCTTTCTCTCTCTCTCTCTCTCTCCTTGCTCACTCTCTCTCCTGTACGCCTGCTTGCCCGCTGGCGAATGGGGCCAACGACTAACACTGATATAACAATCCAAAATACAACAACAAATAATAACAATAATATTCATTACCGTTATCCGATCATCGTTTACTAACGCTAACCAGCCGCCGCCTGCAGCGGCATGGAGTATCAATGTCGCGATGGCACCCGCTGCATCAGCGTCAGCCAGCAATGCGATGGCCACGCCGACTGCAGCGATGCCGACGATGAGGAGCAGTGCGATGGAAGTGAGTATCAAACAGTCAATCAATCATGCAATCAATCAGACAATCAACCAACCAATCAGTTTCATCAATTTGCCGATCACACTGAACATCAAATTTGAGGGTTCACTTGGCTTAATATCCACTCTTCGATCAATCATGTTAGATTGAAATATTTACAATAATTTTGATTCCTCTTGCTCTTGATTCAGATATTTTTCAAAGGATTTCAGTAGAGACTGACTAATTTCCTCTCTGTCAATCATCTTGGATTGATTTCTTCTATCCCACTCTCTTTCCTCCACTATCTGTGTCTCTCAATCATATTGAATTGAAGCGTTGTCTTGAAAATCTCAGTCATTTTATACTGTCATTTAATTTTATATCTCTCTGCTCTTTTCTCATCGACAGTCTCCCTGAATCATTATTGATTGAGACATTTTCTTGACAGAACTTTCAATTCTTTTATATCTCTCTCTCTCTCTCTACATCTTTCACACCTTGTCTCTCTCAAGCAAGAAATGCCTCTGAAATGTGTTCAGTGTTCAGATCAGCAAACATAACAATCCATCAATCACTCAATCCATCATATACATTATGCTCATAGTCTAACTTTTTTGCTCTGCATATCCACAACTCTTCCCTCTCCCTCTCCCTTTCCGCGTCACTCTCTCTCTCTCTCTCTCTCTCTCTCTCTCTCTCTCTCTCTCTCTCT